GGATAACAGGGTTGAAAAGTTTGATGAATGCAGAAAACACCACAATTTGTGTAAAAACTAAGAAAATGATGTTACTTCTTGGGTGCATTAATGTTAATAAAAATCATATGGATAATGCTGTCACAGGATTGTACACAGCTAAACTATGCATTCTCTAATTGTTTGAGAGAAAAAAGAGACACCTAAGTTTACCTTATTTGTTGAAAAGTGTCAACTATTAAACCATAGATTGTGCTTCATATCTGTGAGTTTGTGATAAACACTGCAGAAATGTTCCCTTCCTTCACGCTGTCTATTCTGTATTTCATTTGCTTCTATCTTCCTCATCTTCTCCCTGACAGTGTTTGAGGGCGTGGAACTGCTCTGAGCGCAGTAGCAGAGCGAATTTCCATGCTACATTAGTCCTACTATCAGAATGCAATGAAGGAGAATATGAGAGGAAGACTCATCTGTCCTGCGAGACTCCCACACCCACTCCTCCTCCTCTTCCTCTTCTCGATCATCTTTCTTTCGGCCAGCCACTTTACTGGTGTGTCATCTACATGAGAGATCATCTGTCTTTTGACCCAAATAAACATGACCACAAGAAAAAGAAAAAAAGAGAGGGAGGGAGAGAGCGGAATGACAGGCGGCCAAAAGAAAGAAAAAAAATGAATGCTGTCAGCAGCCTCATTTGTGGGCACCATGTTCATTTTGTCTGGTTTTGGCAGACGCTAGCGCCACATGTTCACCTGCGTCACTAGACAAGAGGGAGGTAATAGATGGACAGGTGGATGCAGCTGTCTGTCAATCTGAGATCCAATCAAAAAAGAAGGACTAGGGACAGTGCAGAATGGGACCGTCCCAGATCAGCAAGTGGAATTTATGTGTGTGTGTTGGTTGGTATATATGTGCCTATTCCTTTGTTTGCCGAAGTGCAAAGCCCCTTGGACCTCTCTGACAATGCCTCCACGAACGAGAGAGGGAGGGAGCATGTGAGGAATGAGAGCAGGAGAGAGAGAAAATCACCTAACACCTCAACTCTCCTGAGGACGGGGCTGCTGTAAGCTGGATATTAAGACACAAATTGCATTCAGGCGGGTCAGTAGGTGTCAGATGATATTAGATGCCTGCCATGAGGAAACAACAACTACCATCAGCCAGGGAGGAAAATAATATTTTCATTTTCAGCCTTTTATTGAATGGAAACTTTGGGGAATACGTCTTTATAGGGGGGAGCTAGCGGGCTTGCAAATTTAACACTCCCAACAAAAGGGCGTAATCATGGCAGCTGAGTGCCCTTTGAGGGATCTGATTTCATTTTCATGAAGGTGAAAAACAAGATTTCGCTCTGTCTATGTGTGTGTGTGTGTGTGTGTGTGTGTGTGTTGTCTCAACGCTTCAATGCCGTTGTTTTCTTTTGTTATCTATAACAGTGAAAGTGTGTCATTTCTAATGGTTTTTCAGCAAAACCAATACAAACAAGTGGCGATCTCTAAATATGGTAAACTTTGGTGTCCCATGACTTTAAAAAAAGCATTAGAAGCACAAATCCTATGGCTTTATTGCGGGAACTAATTAATAATATACTCTAGCAGAATATCATCTGAATTTGGCCTGTTCTTCCAAAGCCTTGATATTCTTGACATCCTGTATCCAACAACTAATATTACACCGCATCATCATTTTGACAATCTGTGGAAATGATATTTAATTTATTGCTGTAAAAATTTGGAAAAAGTTTATTCATTTAAAAAAAATGTATCTGTATTCTAAATCTTGCATATAAGTTTTTTATTTGTTGCAAAAACGAAAAAAAAAATTAACATCTGCTTCGAAATGCTAGCTCCCCCCCTCCCTAATTTTGCAACCCTGTTATCCATTGGAGATTCTTTTTTTTTTTTTGCAAACATTGTGTAATTCTGGTGATTATTCAATGTTAATCACAATAAATATTTAACAGTTTTAATCACTATTTTTACCCTTTTTGTGGTAATTTCCAAGTGAATTACTCCCCCCCCCCCCCCCCCCCCCCACCACCTTTAGAAACCATGATAGGAACAGAAATTAACCAAATGTAGACGTGCAGCTGCAAGTTGCATTGTGTGTGTGTGTGTGTGTGTGCCTTCTTTTACTTCCAGATGTTGTTCTCTCTTCTGTAGTTACCGATCCCCAGCTCTCCAGCATTTTTGCCCATGACCTTCTGGGTAATTGAGCAGAAGTATTGATGTAACAGCAGGGTCTGATTGTGATTTATTAAACACACTCTGAGACTGTGCCAGCGTCACCATGCGCCCATCGCATGCTATTACAAAAGTCATCAATAGCCAAGCTACATAAAGGCTAGTAGTAATGGGGAGAGAGCCAAGAGAGAGAACAGAGCACTCTGCCATTATATGACTGCAGAATACTGAGGAAAGAACAGAGAGAGAGAGAGAGAGAGAGAGAGAGAGAGAGAGAGAGAGAGAGAGAGAGAGAGAGAGAGAGAGAGAGAGAGAGAGAGAGAGAGAGAGAGAGAGAGAGAGAGAGAGAGAGAGAGAGAGAGCACAGAATCTCAGTACAACAAACCGCAGACAGGTCTCCAAATCTCCAGAGAACACATTTTGTTAGGAACACAAAAGGACAAAAAAGAAAAAAAGAAAGAAAGAAAGAAAGAAACTGACCTAAAGAGCCAATGAGCTTCTCAGGCAGCAAACTGGTTTAGAGAAAACCAGTGCATGTCGGCATCATTAACAGATATTTCTGTGTTTACAGAAATAAATATGGCTCCTTATGTTTCCTTCAGTAATGGCCAGGTAAAATACGCTGGCTTTCATCCCATTCCAACAGCAATGCATCATACACAGAAACTGAAGCAATAAGACATAACCCAGGCTCAGAACCATGACTGTAGGACTCCATTAGAGCCCATAATGGGCGGAAACATAGGTTTAGCCTATCATGAGAGAGGTAAATACTACAAGGTCTAATGATTATGGATGATTTGGTGTGGGGTACAGTAGGATGCAGGTATACTATAAAACAGAGGTGAGCTGAAAAAAAGGAAAGAAAAACGACACGCCCATTACAGACCAAAGTCTGTTCAATGACTTTTTGGTGCATGCACAAAAAAAAAGGATATATAACGATATATTGACAATAACAGTGACACCTTAACGCTGTTTGATATCCGTTATAAAACGAGAAAAGTAGTAGTAGTAGTTTTTTGGATTCCGTAAAAAAGTCTGCATGAATAGCAAATTAACAGCACATCCTTTTTGTGAGCTTCTGTATCGTTATGTTCTGCTTTCCTACAGTCAATTTGAGTGTGATTTATTGGCCAAAAAGAGACAACAAAAAATAAACAAAGTTAAAGATGACTATGTCTGATAGCATTATTTATTTATTTATTAAAATTGTCTATAGATATCATAATAATATCATTAGTGTGAATTCTTTTGACCATGATAATTGCATAGCGAAAATCTGATATAGTGACAGCCCTAGCGCTGACTGAAATCAGCAGTTCCAATCTGATTAGTTGGCTTTACTCCAAGTTCTGATAAGGAAGTCAGTCCGGTTGGAAAGTCATGTTAATCAGTGTGATATAAATATGCTTTTGAGGAAAAACTAATCACTAGGTCATGGGTGGTCTACATTGGTAATCTATTTCAGATAATCCCACCCCGAAACAGCAGGTAAAAACTGTGTTTGTCAAAAGTCAAAAAGTGTGCTTGTCCATAATAAGCTGCAATGACTTGCAACTAAAAGTCAAGCTAGACAAATCTAGTTTCATATACTTCTGTAGAATTACAAGTGTAATTTAAAGACAATGAAGAGAAAGGTTGGGAATAAATATGTATAAAGTGGTGGAAGTTTAAACATCCGAAGTGAGCACACAGAAAGCCATGTCTCAGACAGTGTGAATACTCTTCTCTCACCGATGTAATTTTCAGTTAGAACACACATTAAACACAGCAGGATTTTGAATCGCAGACAGGTCCAGATATTTAGCATGCCAAATATCTCACGGGTGTCGGCGACGTATCATCGATTCTCTCAGATTGCGTCTTTGATAATGTACACTGCGTGATTGTCACTCGCGTGAACAAGCACCGATTTGCCTCCGATTTCGGGTTTTGTCTGCGATTTCGCAAAATCTGTCGGTGAGTGAAAATTGGGGCTAAAATCGTGCAGAGTGAACATAGCATTAAATGTGAATGTAAACTAAACAGTTAGGAAAGAAAACGCATGTGTACAGTATCAGTATATTGGATCCGTGCATTATTCTTAAAGTGACAGCATCCTAATAATCCTGCTGTTGTTTGTGAATTTTGAAATTTTGGTGTCATAACTTTCATGGTCGGTAAAACATATGGCAAAAAGATAGTTTTAGGCCCTGTATATACAGTATATTCACAACTTTATTGATTCGCCTGGACCCGATGACAATGCAGTGCTGAAGTGTCAACAATCCTCTCCCTATGGAGGATCCCTTTCCCACTCTACAGATAAAGCGTTGTGAATTTCGGTTCGCGTACCCCGAAGTGATAAAATAAAACAAAATTCTGTATCAAAATTTATAGGCAAGACAAATAGTTTGTTTAGGCATGGGTTGTATGGAATTACAAACCTGCGCACATATTTTCAAAAGCACATAACTATAGAATCAATTCTGAATGCCGTCAGCGTTCACAGGTTCACGTTTAAAGTCTGATCATTTCGACGGAGGTGAATCAATCAAAATTAACTTTAGCTGGAAATAACATTATTCAAAAACCGCTATAAAGCCAAAAATTACATTTTAATGTTTAAATTATAACATATAATTATAACTATAACATATAATTATAACATATAATTAAATTATATGTTTATCTCTGTAAAGCTGCTTTGAAACAATCCATTGTTAAAAGCGCTATATAAATGAAGATGACTTGACTTTAGTCTTCTTTATCTCAAAAATGAAGTAAACGCTATAGTGTCATCAAAGCTGTTAGAAGAAAATTTGGTTCATCACAGTTAAATGACTGAGATTGTACCTGAAAGCAGAGCATCCCCAAGCACCGTGCTTGTCTGTGAGGATGTTTACAATCTTCTGTATGAGCTGGGTGGACGTGACGTGATCCCGGTACTTGGCGGCCCGGATCAGGTGATCGCACATCTTCTCCTCATCACGTTTCTCAGCGGCATACTGAGCACATTGAGACTGCAGACAGAAGAAAACAGCCCTTGTGAGTCATCACGCTCTTATATGCATTCAGTCTTTTTATCAATGAACATATTAAACCTTTAATTCAAATTATGTAGCCTTCTTTAAAAGCTACTATACATGTACAGTATAACACCTTTCACATACAAACATACAAAAGTTACTTGGAGGCACAAGTGTACTCCTGTGCTACATTTACCTGAGAAGAATACTGTCCATCTGACCGGGTGTAGAAAACAAAGCGGACTACATCATTAGAGTGTGTGAACGTGCGTGCGTGTGTGTGCGCGGTAACTCCATACACACAGGAAACAAATGGAACTCTGGGTCATTTCCAGCCCGTTGTCACAGTGATTAATAACACTGGACATATATTTGCTAATGCCTTTGGGCTACGCTAAAAAATGTAGAAACTACCCATAATACACGACGAGACATTTTTCTTTGTCAGAATTTATCATCAGAAAACCCTTTGAACTCAAATGCAATCCTTAAACAAAGCACCTCACACTGTAAATATCACATTGATAAAACTTAAATTCTGTTTTATCTCTTCCTACCAAAGTAGAAGAGTAAATGAATAAGCCGTCCTTTGTGAAAACCAATGTCCCAATCAGAATCAATAAATCACAAGATCAGCAACAAAGCTGGTGAGATGCTGGTACAAATTCAACCCAGAATAAACGAAAACAGCTTCAATTTTTCCTCCGTGCCTCTTATCTGATTCTGATGCAACGTCTAGCAAACAGCAATCAAGCGGAAAGGTTACAGCACCCACTAGAGCTTGTTTTAATGTAATTCCCTTTGCTTCATCCATTGCGTGTTATGGCCCTAAATTAAATTAGCCTTGGACAGCACCCATCTCAGACAACAAATACAGTAAAGGCAGCGGTCTGGTGTGGCAGCGGCGGCAGAAGCAGAAGCCTGCCTCGGCAAAGTTAGCGGTAAACGCTCCAAAGTGCCTTCTAATGGGCCCTCCTCTCCAATTTGAGCATCGACTCTTCATGTATGACAGAAAATCCATAGAGATAAATCACATTAGGGAGGCTTCCCTCTCCTAATTATCAATCTGTGTCTCATTTCGCTGTTCTTAACTCTGCAGTGACCTTAAAGCCATGAGAAGAGGATGCCGGCATAAAAGAGAGATAAAAGGTAAAGGGTGAATGTTTAAATGTGAACCTATTTGGATGTCTGGCGTAACAAAAGAGCGTGAATAAAAGAACGGAAAGAAAGGCAGCGATTTGTCTCTGCTCAGCGTAGAAGGTCACGTCTGGGTAAGAAATGGAGAATTCTAGATGGGTAACATTCGTTTTGATGAAAGAATGGAGTAAAAAATAAGAATAAGACTGCACAACAAAACATGTTTTGAACACAATAATAAGTGCACAGAGATTATCAATGACTATTATGCAACTGAGAACTTTAACTATTATAATTGTAATATTATATTATAATATTATTTTTATGAGACATTCTTAAATTTAATCTCTGAAGCATGTGTGAAATTTGTAGTATTAATCGAAATAAAAATTTGATCTAAATGTGCTTTCTCAAATGAGCCTTATCAGAATAGTTTCAGAGACAAAAAGAGCAATCATCCATATTTTTTCAGTGTTCCCTTCAACTAGTGATTAACACATTATTAATTAGCTGTCATGAGTTCAAACACTTTGGCATAAACAGGCACTTTATCAACTAGTGTCAACGGCACCAAATCCCTGAGCTCCATAATGGGCTTTGTAATTTTCATGAACTTCCTGACAAATGGTTTCCTTGCAGCTGAAATTACAGGCTGAATTATAGGAAACATTCAGGTGAAATACATAGCGGTGACATTATCATCACGTTTGGGGCTGTAATTCTGTAGTGACATCATAAGACTTTGGAAACCCTACAAGGTGAACTTAATTCAAAGGGTCTTGCACATGTTTGGCACTCCACTGAAGGGGGAACCACAATCTCCAGTCGCAGTGCAGTTGAAGTACAAACCATAGCGGCAGAAACAAAACCATGAAAGTAATGTGTTTATGACTTCAGACAGAGTAATAATCCACATCTCCAAATGTTCTGTGTTCTGGGGAACTGAATCGGACAGGGTCAGCACTCATTTCCTTCGATGGACTACACTCACGACATACCCATTAGAGCCATATTATTACAAAGGAAAAAAAACGGTACCGTCTACAATAGTCACAAACTATTTAGTCAGCATTACAATAAAGGTCAAAATAAAATGCCTACATGAATTTTTTGAGTGTAACAAAAGTAAGCCACTGATTATATTATAAAATCATATATAATATTATACAATATTTAAATGTATTAGTCCAAATACATACATTTATAATTAAATTTAACATGATTATGTTTAACAGGTTTTTTCCTGATCTGTGTGATTTCTTATAAATTTTTTTATATTATTAAATAAATCCTGGTCATGACATTTAACAAAAATAGTCATTTAAGTTTACTTATATGTTCAATTTGAAATTATAATTGTGGGTATAATCGAGGAAGCTCAACTTTTACAAATAAGGGTATTGCCCCTCATGTCTTCTGAGAAAAGCTAATTGGTTTCTGAAATGTTCTGAATGTGTGTGATGCTGCATCTATGGCAATAAGGGATGATATAAAGTCCAGGCCTATTGTGGTATAGTCCAGTAGAACAAAAATCACTCTTAAATAATCTCTTCTATTCAGAATTTATAGCTAACCAAAGCACAATGAAATAATGACGACTTTCCTATTTGCCATTGTAAGCAGATCCCAGCATTTCTCTGTAACAACATATGAACAATCATGGACGGCAGGCTTACCCTCTTCTCCCTAAACAGGGTAGCAAGGTTAAACAAAATAATCATCATCTGCCAGGGACCAGAACTCATTATGTTCCATCAGCCCCCGTGTATGTGAATTAGTTAGTGTGACACAACATGGCCAGGCGTGCATGTAAGTCCACACATTACATTCACTGTGAAGGGTTTGCGGTGTTCTTCGAGAGCGAGTCTAAGCAGTGAAAACAGTGGGGATCTTGTTAAACTGCTTGATTTGCACTCTGTTGACAGTGAAGTACACAGCACCGTGGCTATCATCTTTCTCTCCTCACCAGTCCCTCCCTCAGGGTTTCATTTACACCAGGAAACTGTCCTACTGATGCCTCTGTCCTTGCAGCATCTGAGGGAATGCAAATACAGTGCGGAGGATATGCCCGCATCGTTCAGAGAAACAAAATGAAAAATGAAGAAAAAAAGTGCGTACACCATGTCATTCGGCCAATCAAATCCGAGATTTTCATTGCACTTGATCTTTTGACCCACTTTCTTTCAGAATTTAAAGTCACCACATAAAAACTGTAGCCAGGGGAATTCAGACAAAAGCAAGCCAGGAAAGCAAAAAGTGACAACCAAGAAAAATGAAGGCTTAAAAGTACAATAGCGAACAAAAGTCACAGAATGACAAAGGCTGACAGGCACTTCAATTCCGGAGCGATACTGCTGTCAGCCAACGCCTCTCTGTATTGATTTCTCTCCATCCCTCGTTCCCTCGGCGATAGATGGAGCAGGGATCTAGTGTGAAGCAACTATAGAGAGAGAGAGAACAAATGTTGCCACCACCACCCCCTCCTTTTCCAGAGTCAGGGTGACCATCAAGGTTAACACAGGTGCAACAACTTATCAAAGTATCTCTGGCTTCTCTCTTCCCCTTTTCTCCTTCCTTCATTTCGTGCTTTTAATGGACTAGTCACAATGCGTAGACGGCAGATTCTTCATCTTTCCTCCCACCCCCTCTCTAAAAAAAAGCATTTCTTTGGTTCCATTACTCTACACGGGCAGCTGACTCCTGCAACTTCAAGGTCACGCCGTGTGAGAAATTGTAGGAATTAACTGTCCTTTTGAGGTGAAAAATAGTCAAATGAAGGAGATGTGCGGCGAGTGAAAAATGAACATGTCTGCTGGCAGTCGGGGAGAAGCAGGTGTGGATGAATGTGAATACAGGATAATGTTTTTACTTCTGGTAAATAAAGGAAATGTATAAAGGAACAACAGACTATAAAACGGAGTGCCACCGTTGGGAAGGTGATAACAGGTCAAATAAACAGTCTGAAATGATACTTTCACAAGCATGAAAAAATAAATATACATTAATATTAGGGCTGTCAAACGATTAATCACGATTAATCGCATCCAAAATAAAAGTTTGTGTTTACATAATATATGTGTGTGTACTGTGTATAATTATTTTGTATATAAATGCACACACGTATATATTTAAGAAAAATATGTCATTTATATATAAAATGTTTATATTTATAATATAAAATATACATTATATATAGGCTACATTCAGTCTATATACAGTATATACATGCAAATATTTCTTAAATACACATGTATGTGTGGGTATTTATGTATTAAAAATAATTATACACAGTACACACACATATATTATGTAAACACAAACTTTTATTTTGGATGCGATTAATCGCGATTAATCGTTTGACAGCCCTAATTAATATTATTAGTAAGATTTGGGATTTTGCTCATACAATAATAATGCGTTTAAAGAAAGGCAACAAATTAAATATTGTGCTCATACTAGTAAAACCTATGATGTCGACTGTGTTAAATAATGTTCTTGGTGTTTCCTTGCTGTGACAGGGTGACCCAGAAAGAAGCTATGAGGGTTTACGTTGAATTAAATACCAGATACAGCTTCTTGTGTAACCAAAACACCAATAAAATCCAGGAGAAAATACTTTTTATAATTGATAATACGGGACTTTTAATTATAAACAAGCCTGAAATACACAGTAACTCTTATTTTGAAATGTCTTTACTACTTCCAGTTGCTAATTCAAACAGATGAGGGAGATAGAATACGCACCCTTATGACCATCTGCAACATTATAATGCAACATTACAAAATATACTCCGTGTAAATATTCTCACAATTCATTAATCACTTGGAATAAGTGTGCAGTATTCATTGATTGTGAA